GATCTGTGGCCCCTTCAGCAGCAACAGCCACAGCTTTTCCAGCTAGAGTCAGTTAGAACCCCTCTCTCCCAGTTGAGGTGGAAATAGGCCAGCAAAGCTGGAAGCAGGCTTCACAGGACTTACAGCAAAGATGGTTTAATTGCCATCGTCAGAGGAGTCCCGGAGGGAGGAGACCACGGGGGGCAGAGGGACCCAGAGAAGGACGGTCAGGCGGAAAAGGTGGAGTAAGGCGAGGATATTAAGTTGGTGTACGAGGGGCGGAGATTCAGACGGAGCTTCGCCGGTCTAGCCATAAGATGTAGAGTTGCACGCAGCAGCTTGGAAATGGAAACTGTAACTCAATAAAGACTTTTAATAAAGCGAACGCTGGCTAGCGTGATCCTCTGTGAGCTGGGATCGGGGAGCAGCTCTGACAGTAAGCTCCGTCTCAATTCCTGTGGGGCATCGAAAGCCTAGCGGAGAGGAGAGAAGGCTGGTGCCTACTCGAGAGCTCACGAACGGCAGACAAGATGACGGCCGAACAACAGATAGCGGATCTCAGAGAAGCAGTGACACAACTGAATGCCGAGGTACTTGCATCCAGGAAGAGAGAGGAGGACGCAGCTGCCGCCTACAGAGATCTCCAGGTCAGATTGGAAATGCTTACGAAGCAAGGGCAACTGACACCCAGACCGGAGGGATTGGGTTGGGGAGACGAGCAGGCGGTCTAGTCTCTCACTTCGATGGGAATTTGCAACAGTACCCCCAACTTTAGAGCAGATGTAAAGTGTGCACTGCAACTGCTGGAAAAGGACTTTAGAGATGAGCAAGAGAAGGTGGGGTTTATCATGTCCCATTTGCATGGAGATGCTAAAGCATGGCTGCGCAATTTGTGGAGAGATAAGGATCCGGCGCTCCAAAATGCGGATGCCTTCATTAAAGCGATGGATGGGTGCTTCTTATCAAGCATAGACGTGGATCTTGCCCGGAAGGAGGTGCATGGACTTAAGCAGGGGAGGGCCAGTGTACGGCAGTATCATGCCCGCTTTTTTGCATTGGTCAGTGCCCTGGAATGGGACAGAGATTCGGCGCCTGTCAGAGACCTGTTTTGGGAAGGCTTGAGTGGCCCGGTTAAGGACGAAATTGCGAGGGGGGAGAGACCCCGGAGCACGCAGGAGATCGTTCAGAGGGCGCTCGCAGTTGGGGTCCGTCTGGAGGAACGTCCTTGGGGCAAGGACGAAGGGCGCGGAGGGCGCGAACCAGCCAGAGGCTACTCCTTCGTTCCCAGAGAAGCAGCGCGTGCGCAATCCACGCCTCCGCCAGGAGGAGGAGCGGAACCTATGGAGGTTGGCGGTGCAAGGGCTCAGTCAGCAACCAGAGCCCTAGCACCGGGAGCAGTGAAAGCAAAGCCTCCTAGAGGGAACCGGAAGTGCTACATCTGCGACAATCCCCAGCACATGGCGAAAGAGTGTCCCCAGAGGCTCCACAAGCACACTGCAGCCTCAGCAATGGTAACTGCAGCGACTCAGCAAGGAGAACCACAGCAGGGAAACGAAGGAGTATGGCTGGAGACAGAGGCACTGGGGCCCAGCCAGACGTGTCAGTGAAGCAGTCCCCAGAGATGTTGCAACAGAAACGCCGTTTACCTTCCCGCCGGAGCGGTACCTATTTATCTACTTGCACTTTGACGTGCTTTCGAACTGCCAGGTTGGCAGGAGCTGGGAATGAGCAACGGGAGCTCACCCAATTGCAGGGATTCGACCTTCCGATCGGCAAGTCCAAGGCTCAGTGGTTTAGACCACAGCGCCACCCACATCCCTAGCCTAGCAGTTAGTGGATTGTATTTGCATTGCTGCACAATGGGCTTGCCAGCATGTTTGGCATTGCAGTGCACCCTCTGGATACAAATTTAATTCATTCCAGAGGTCTGTGCATACGCCACAAAATCTGTATCCAGAGGATTCTTAGAGTGCTTTTGTGCATGCGGCAGAGTGCTTCTGTGCATAGACGAGTGGCAAAACTCGGAAAAATACTTACGCGTTTGCCACTTTCACAACCCAAAGTTTACTTTACTTGAGAGTACAGTGGTACCTCGGGTTAAGTACTTAATTCATTCCAGAGGTCAGTTTTTAACCTGAAACTGTTCTTAACCTGAAGCATCACTTTAGCTAATGGGGCCTCCAGCCAGTGGCGTAGCGTGGGGGGTGCAGGGGGTGCCGGCCACACCGGGCGCAACATCTGGGGGTTAGGGTTATGGGGCGCAAATCCACGGGTTACGGGGCACAAATTACTTGCCTTGCCCCGGGTGCTGACAACCCACGCTACGCCACTGCCTCCTGCTGCCACCACGCTGCCGGAGCATGATTTCTGTTCTCATCCTGAGGCAAAGTTCTTAACCCGAGGTACTATTTCTGGGTTAGTGAAGTCTGTAACGTGAAGCATATGTAACCTGAAGCATATGTAAGCCGAGGGTCTACTGTACTGAAAACAGTATCACCCTCCCGCATTTTGAAAATCCCACTAATTAGAACAGGAGGAAGCAATATGAATAGCTATAATATCACAGGAAAAATAGGCATAGAGACCAAAGGAAATTTAGATTCAGGTGCACAGAAAAGATATGTCAACGACTGTAAAGAAGCACTGAGCTATCATTTAAACTTCATTGGCCTTTAATTTTGTAGCATGATGCATCACGTTCTATTAAATGTCACTCCCTAACTTACCAGAATCAACATCACCTTGACCCATGTTTTTGGCAGAAAGTCAAGATAGCTTAGAAACTGCCTTCCTGTTCAGAAGGGAAGCAGTACTTCTAGTAACGAACAGATGCTGAGAGGGGAAAGGAAATAAACAGATAACAGTAGCTGTCACCATTATGAACTGGTGAGCTTCGTTTGGGCATCTTGCCAAGTAGTGCTGTCAATAGAATTTTCTGTATGCCTCATAGGCATATGTTAAGATGCTTTCAAATCAAAAGTATACCAGCTCATGGTTGAGGCTATCATAGTTCAGTTCTCTCAAATTCACTGGAGCCCTGTCCATAGCAGTGCTTTCAGAATTTGATATCTAGGTGCGATCCTTGACTACACTTAATGGGAATGTTAATGATCAGTTTCATTGGGATTACAATGCTAATGTAAGATGACAGCTCATTTGTTTTCTTAAAGTGGTCTGGCTGAGCCAATCAGGTTGCAGATAATCTTATTATACCAGTCAGCCCTCGGATTACTTTTGATGAGCTTTTGGAGCTATCATGTGTCATACTTTCCTGCAGGCCAGAGACCGCTTGTGTTTCAGCTGGATAAGGTCAGATCTTAATTTAACTACCAACTGTGTACTTAATTTTAGAAACGCCACATGACCTAGCCATTTGCAAGGCCTATACTTGCATGTTTGAAATTCAGGGCCCAATGAAACAATGGCAAGATTTTGAAAAGGTGAGAAGCTCCCTTTGTCTATAGATTGTCAATTAACCTTAAAACTAGGAATAAATCCAAATATAGATTGCGATTAATTATCTTGCTTTGAATAATCCGAGCCTGCATGCTTATTGTCCTCTTCTTCAGTTTTGGGGAGGAAAGCTAATGGCACTTAGATTGTTTATGTGTTAATCAACTCCAATTTACAGTTTTTATCCACATAATATTAAACACCTGTCCAGTGTGCTTAATATTAATGAAACTATGGTTGCTAGGATGCGTGTGAGCATCAAAAATCATTATGGAAAAACACTACTCTTGGAGAACAAAAATATTTAAATATCATAGAAACTACTGACTTTGAAGTGCTTAGCTTTTAGCTGAATCATAACCTGAGAATGCACAAGGGAATTACGCTGCTTATTTCTTTATTTAAAAAGCTTGAAACAAAACAGCAGGTTTTCTATCAGCTTTCTGTGAGTAGGGCTATCAGTGTGGGTTGCCCTAAGGCACTTTGTACCACTTTGTAAACTGCTTTGCAAACTTTCTGATGGAAAGCAATATATAAATACTTCAAATAAATAAATAAATAAAAATATGGACATGTCATAGTGTTGATAGCCAATTATATTCTGGTGACGTGATTCAGTGGGAGCCAAAGAAGGTAGTGGATGGTCAGAAGAGATGATTCATCTGAATATTCTCCTTCCCCCATTCTCTGTATGAAAATTCATATCTGTGTATGGGGGGAAAAACCACACAGTTTGAGTGTGACAGAGGAGACACGAAGCAGAGTCTGGGCTCTGCAAGCATCTTAGGGTGTTGGCTTTCTCCCTGAAAATCTGGTGTGTAAGCAAGTGAGCTTTGTCTGTCTGTTGGAATGTTTCAGCTGTGCTTTCAACCTGTATATTTGTAAATAAATGCAAATATTACAAAGCACCAATAAACTTCCATTGACTTCCTTCCAAAGGAAACTGCCAGGGCTATGCCACTGGAACTTTATTAATTTCTTAGAATGCAGAACTTTAAAAATATGCTTTTATTTATGAATTGTTAACACTATCCATTATGAAACCAGTTCAGATCATTTTACCAGTATATTACCAAAAAGATAAAATTGAATATAGCATTAACATAACATCGTCTTCCACCTTGCTGTGTTTCCTTGAATGTCTAGCACTTTGTCGCAGGTGAGCTTAACCTAATGTGTCTAATTCATGGGATTTTTGAATGTGATCTCTTTTCTCATTGCTTATTTTAACAGGTCATTCTATAATTGCCTGTGGGTGGAGGGAGGATCTCTCAATTGTTTTCTCTCTCTTTTATATATTGAATAAAGCAATACAAGATTTCAGCAAAATCATCAGTCTGTGTGTCTATTCTGTGCTTACATCTGTCATGCTAGCCTTTTGTAGCCAAAAGTGTGGTGTCAGGTTATTAGCAGTTTTTCAGTTTGGGGCCACCACCTAGCAAACAGCCACCAATAAAAAAGCCATCAAGTCCTTTAACAATAAATTGTGATGTTTTTCCACATATGGAGTTAGAAGAGCTAGCTTAGAATCTCACATACGTAATCACTTTAGAATAAAGAACCAAGAAAATTATCAATTCATATTTTGTGCAAATCTTGAACATGAATGCTGAACAGGGAAGCTTTGTGTCTTGCTAGAGAGCCACAGTTGATCAGTTTGGTTGCATAAAATCATTCATTTGGGTGGCCATATGAGTGTTAGTTAAATGTGGAGGTACATTCTAGTGATGACTGGAAAGTGAAGCCTAAGAGCACTTTGGCATAGGGGCTAGTCATTCTTTAACTTTGTTTTTCCCCTACTACTGTGTAGAGTTATGACACTATATTTTCTTATATACCTCTGCTTAACCATTAACCCCACTGTACTTAAACAATTAGAGTGCTTTTCAGCACAAGTCATGCAAGATATGACCTCTTGTTTATTTTGTGGCTTGAGAACAGCTCATAAACCCATGCCAAGAAGATGGAAGGAAATGAGGGCACTGATGAAGATCATCTCACTGGCTATGCTGTTCAGTTTAGCATCCAGGAGTCCCTTGAAAGTGCAAGGAGCCAGCAAACTTCTTCCCCTGATCATGAAGCAAGGTATGTCAGCAGTCTTTCAGCCCCGGTCTGAATGTCTGGTGCCTGAATGTCAATATTTCACCTCCATATCTCTCCTAATTGGTTAGAACCTCTGGCTGTTGGGTACAATCTCTAGTTATTCTGGAAGAGTACGCTGTAGGATCCTATGGAGTTGTTTATAATTTAAATTTATGGCCTGTTTTCAATGGTTTGACATGGATACTAATAAACCTAAAAGAATATGCAGTCTATTGAAGAGTAATAGCATTCAGTCAGTTCTTACAAAGGCAATCCTTATTTGGCCCAACCAAAACCAACCACATCTGGCAGGTCTTACAACACTTTTGAAATATGGGAGAACTAGGAAACATGCTGAACCCAAGTGCTGAGAAATTAGCAACTCCTTTGCATGCTTCTGTCCTTTTGTGTTGCTCAACATAGATGTACCTCTAACCAGAACCACTGGTACAATGATTTAGGCTGGGGAAGTAGCAGATATATGCAATGAGATAGCAGCAAAGACTCCCAAAGCCTGAGATATTATTTCTACCTTGTCTCTCCTATCATTTTTTCCACTAGGTTTCTACCAGTCAGTGATCAAAACAGAAAGCTTGTAGCTGCTATAAGAGAAGGTACAAGTACTAAACGACATCACTGTTAAGATAGTTGTATTACCATCAGTTATTGTTGTGAATGGTGGTGCAGTTGGGTAATTGTAGACTCAGAACTTAGTAGTCTAACGGGAGGGAGCTCCTTCAATGGTTATATGTATTACTTCAAACTGTGGTAAAGCTATTCTGCATCTGGGCACTGTTATGTACTGAAGTTCTCACCCTGGGCCAGCAGGGGGATACTGTAGATAGTTTTTACTCAGGTCCACATATGCAAATAAGGGATTGAAAGTGACGTTCAGTGATTGGATAGTTACAGAAAGTGGTTACAGTTGCGTTGTAGTGGAGCTCTATATAAGCAGGCTGGCTGAACCCTTCAGTTCAGTTCTGTTCTGGCCTGTGAATAAACAAGAGCTGTTTGAAGAATTGCTGTGTCGTCTGATATGTTCACCCACAACTTAACAGGCATCCTCCTACTCTACTGAGTGGGGCTGTAGACTTCTACCCCAAAAACAGCATCACTGTATTTTTTTGCCAATTAACCCTGACCAAATTATTTAGCTTAAAGATGTTCTGGTTTTGAAAGATGACCGTTGCTCTTCATGGAGTTAGCCTTTGGGTTTATTTCACACTGGATTTTTTTTTTCTATTGAGGTCGAGTATCTGAGCTTCAAGACTATGTGAAATGCAAATATGCTTTGGATGAGGCTGATGACAGAGGTTGGTTTCCTTTACATGAAGCTGCTGCTCAGCCAATTCAGCAGATACTTGAAGTAATCTTGGATGGTAAGTTGGCACAGGTTAGCAGAGAAGGAAAATATTGTTGTGGAGGTGAAATAGATGTGTGTGTAATTAACAAAAAGAATTGACTGTGTGCCTAGATTCAAAACATGGAGTTTTGCACACTCTCCAACGGGACAGAGCTCCCAGCAGGGTTTAAAACACTCCGAGAGTTAATGGACTATGCAGAATTGGACAAAATGACAGGAAGGATTCGAAACCTGCGGGACCAGAGATTTACAGAAGATTGGAAGAAGTTTATGAATTACTTGAAGAGCAACTATAACCAACAAATTACGCTAGTAGGATTACAATAAGTTTTGTAAGGAGATATATACGAAGTGTTACAAAGTAGAAAAAGATAGAGATATTGGTTATGAGTTTGAAATGTAAAAGGTTAAGATAAGATATGCATACTAAGAGATTAGATTGGAAAATTTTCAAGACAGGATTGATGGAAGTCAAAAAAATTGAATAAGATGTAAAAGTATGTTTAATTACTGTTGAAAATGATATGTTAAAAAATTAATAAAAAATTTATATACAAAAAATAAAATAAAACACTCCGAGAGTTAACCAGCAGCATAGTGTGGAATATAAGTTGTTAAACCCTTTTGCATATCCCATTTCGTCTGCCTTAAAATGTTTGCCTCCTCTTTCTATGCCTCTAGCAATGAACAGACCACACACTTTTAAATAAGTTTAAAATGATTTCCTTACTAAATTCAAAGGTCTGGTTCATGCATTATTCCATGCAGCATCAGGGAGAACACAGGTAGATGCTGTATTTATGATGCTCTATTATGTTCTATCATGTTGTTGTTATTGCATGTAAGCCACTTTGGGATTCATTTGAATGAAAAGCAGCATAGAAATAAGTCAAATCAAATTTTCTATTACTCTGTTTCACAAAGTTGCCTATGGGACACTCACAAGCAGGATGTGAGAGCAAAAGGTGTCTCCCCATGTTTTCCCCCAGCAACTGACATTTGGAAGAATGTGATCTTTAATTCTAGAGTTAGCATATATAGCCATCATGATTAGCAGCCATTGGTAGCCAATGCGTATTCATTCACAGTTCTGGATTTATACTCCCTAGCTCCCTTCCCTTCATGCAGCATTCTGCTACTCAGGCAAGATCTCATCCAGAAGTTGTACAGAGGAGCCTGCTTGGGTTAAGATGAAAGCATGTATTAAATACATGTATGTTCTCTTAAGACACAAATTAATAAGCAAGCTACACTGGTACCTCGGTTTACATACACTTCAGGTTACATAAGCTTTAGGTTACAGACTCCGCTAACCCAGAAATAGTACATCGGGTTAAGAACTTTGCTTCAGGATGAGAACAGAAATTGTGTGGCGGCAGCAGGAGGCCCCATTAGCTAAAGTGGTGCTTCAGGTTAAGAACAGTTTCAGGTTAAGAACGGACCTCTGGAACGAATTAAGTACTTAACCCGAGATACCACTGTATTGTTTAATTTTAAAAATATATGTGCATTTTTACAAATGTGGCATTGATACGGGTGTTTGCTTGTTTGTTTGTTTTTTTAAAAAATAAATCTAGCGTCTTATAAAGCAATGTGGGAATATAAAACATGCGATGGAGAGACACCGTTGACGTTGGCAGCCAAATCTCGCCATGCAGGGAATGTCAGGACACTGTTGGAAAAGGGGGTCTGGCCCAATACCACTAACCGGAAAGGAGAGACTCCTCTTCTGATTGGTAATTGCTTCATTAATGGCTTGCAGTGTTTGGGCTTGCTGCTAGTTCATGTAGAATCAAAGGCTGGTCACCCTGGAAACTGGACATGCAGCTGGAGAATGCCCTCCCCCCCACTCCCAGCTTAATGAACACATTTTATGCCACACAATATGAACACTAAAACCAATTACAATAAACACGACCGATAAAAACCTAAAAAACAAACAAACCATCTATACAGAAAAAAAGACAGGTCTTGCCCCTCTGAAAGAGGCCACAAGTACTTTAAACCCTTCAAATTAACATCAAAAAGCCCAGGTAAGAAGCAACAGAAAGCTGCTGTTTCTAAGGATCTACATTCCTGCCCCGTATCCCATATCGCCAGTGTGGTGTAATGGTTAAGAGCGGTAGACTCGTAATCTGGTGAACCGTGTTCGCTTCCCCGCTCCTCCACATGCAGCTGCTGGGTGACCTTGGGCTAGTCACACTTCTCTGAAGTCTCTCAGCCCCACTCACCTCACAGAGTGTTTGTTGTGGGGGAGGAAGGGATAGGAGAATGTTAGCCGCTTTGAGACTCCTTAGTGTATTGATAAAGTGGGGTATCAAATCCAAACTCCTCTTCTTCTTCTTCTATCCTGTCTCAGTAGTGGTATAGAAAGAAAGAGGAAGCCCTACTCTGCCAATATTAATTTCGAATATATTTTATGAAGGGATTGGGGGAAGGGTTAGAGGATCACGAGGGAACTTTTGCAAATATGGAAGAATGGTGTGCATGCTTTTTGGAACTATTGCATGTGCATATGCATCGTTGGCCAGAAAGTTTATTTTTTTGTTGCTCTTCTGCAGCCACCATTGGAATACTGCTCCCAAGAGGTTGGTTGGGATCAGATTTTGCCCTCTGACCAAAAGTGATTTCCTGCCTCTGCTATACTCACCTACGTTAGAATAAGTCTCATTGAACTTAGTGGGGTTGCAAGGAGTGCAGGATAAGGACAATATCTAAATTGTTTCATCTCTTCTTTTTGTCTGTTTCAATTTGTAAGCGACAAAACAGGGCTCGTATGAAATGGCTTCCATTCTGATTGAATTCAATTGTACCGTCAATCAGCCATGTGTAAAACGTTGGTCGGCAATGCACGAAGCGGCGAAACAGGGTCGCAATGACATCATTGCTCTGCTGCTGAAGAATGGTGGCAACGTGCACCTAAAAGATGGATTTGGAGTAACTCCTTTAGGTGTAGCTGCTGAATACGGCCACTGTGATGTGCTGGAGCATCTCATTCATAAAGGTGGGTTTGTACTTCAACAGGTAGCAGTTTATGCTGCAGCAAGGCTCTTTGTTTCTGAGCGCAACTCAAAGTGTTGGTGCTGACCTTTAAAACTCTAAAGGGCCTTGGCCCTGTATACCTGAAGGAGTGTCTCTACCCCCATTGTTCAGCCCAGACACTGAGATCCAGCTCCGAGGGCCTTCTGGTGGTTCTCTCACTGCGAAGAATTGAAGCTACGGGGAACCAGGCAGAGGGCCTTCTCGGCAGTGGCTCCTGCCCTGTGGAACACCCTCCCATCAGATGTCTTCTAAAGGTTATAAAGTTACTAATCTTGACATCTGAAGGCAGCCCTTTATAGGAAACCCTTTTAATGTGTAATGTTTTATTATGTTTATATATGTTGGAAGCTACCGAGAATGGCTGGGGCAACTGAGTCAGATGGGTGGGGTGCTATTGTTGTTATCATCATCATCATCATCATCATCATCATCATCATCATCTCCAAGGCCTTTAGGGGCTCCTTTCAGGCCACATCTGTCCAGGAAACAGAAACCTAGGATGGAATCTATGTCATGATTAACTTGCATTTATTGATTTCAATGGGTCTGACTTGGGCTGCCCCTAGTATCACTATACCTCAAATGAACCCTAATAGAAAAAGATTCCTGCTGGATCAGGCTAGCAGTCCATCTAGTTCATCATCTTGTTCTCACAGTGGCCAACCAGATGCCCATTGGAAGTCCACAAGCAGAACCTAGCCAGGATCTCTGAGGGCATAGCCTGAATCTATTCAAGTCCACTTCTCTTCTTACCCATCCGAAACTCCATTTAGGAACATAGGTAGCTGCCTTAGATGAGTCAAACTGTCATTCTAAGTAAAGGTAAAGGGACCCCTGACCATTAGGTCCAGTCGTGACAGACTCTGGGGTTGCGGCGCTCATCTCGCTTTATTGGCCGAGGGAGCTGGCCTACAGCTTCCGGGTCATGTGGCCAGCATAACTAAGCCGCTTCTGGCGAACCAGAGCAGCGCACGGAAACACCGTTTACCTTCCTGCCGGAACGGTGCCTATTTATCTACTTGCATTTTGATGTGCTTTCGAACTGCTAGGTTGGCAGGAGCAGGGACCGAGCAACGGGAGCTCACCCCGTCATGGGGATTCGAACCACTGACCTTCCGATCGACAAGTCCTAGGCTCTGTGGTTTAACCCACAGCGCTACCTGTGTCCCTGTCATTCTATTTAGCCAGAAAAAAACAAAACTAGTTTGGTGTAATGAGATAGAGTGTTGGACAGACTGGGAAGACCTGGGTTCCATTATTGGCTCAGCCTTGAACATCTTTGTCTTTGGGCATGCCACTGAATTTCCCTCACAGGGTTGTGTCTGAGTTTATAATGGTATAATCTATCTATCTATAATGCATTGACTTTCTTCAAGTAAGAGCAATATACAAAAATAATTGGAAAAACCCAACCGTAGAAATCTCTTCTTTGTACCACGTTAACTGTTCATAAAATGTTGAGGAGAGAGAAATGTAATAGTGCTTTGACAATTTGTGACACTGAGATTAAGATGTGGCATTGCACAGGTACAGTGGTGCCCCGCAAGACGAATGCCTCGCAAGACGGAAAACCCGCTAGACGAAAGGGTTTTCCGTTTGCGATGCGCTTTGCAAGACGAATTTCCCTATGGGCTTGCTTCGCAAGATGAAAACGTCTTGCGAGTCTTGCCATTTCCCCCCCGCTTCCCCCCTTTTTCAAAGCCGCTAAGCCACTAATAGGCTTTTAGCAGCTTAGCCGCTAATCCTTTAATAGCCGCTAAGCCGCTAAATCGCTGATAGCGCTAATCCTCTTAGCCGCTAATGGGGTTGCTTCGCAAGACGAAAAAACCGCTAGACGAAGAGAATCGCGGAACGGATTATTTTCATCTTGTGAGGCACCACTGTATTTAAATATTGTGCTATATAAGGCAGTACAAGGTCACATAGGCACACAACCTCATTTCTTTGGTTTTGCTCTCTATACCCAAATCCTCATTATACTCAGGAGCAGTGGACTCTTTCAAGTATTTTGTATTGAAGAACTGTCCCCAACCAACTGTTCCTCAATTAATTTCGATTTGTAGCCTTTCTCATCTGAAAAGACTCCTTGGGGTATTTTAAAAGCAAGCAAGATATAAAATATATATTGTCTTCCTCTGCTCTCAACCTTTAGCTCAGCCCCTAAATTACACCTCAAATTAAAGCTGATTACATTGCTTCTGGTAAAGTTTTAGGACTGGTCCCCCAACCCCCAAGCCTATAAAAAGCTCATCATGCCTGTCATGAACCAGTATGCTGTAGTGGTTAGAATGATGGACTAGGACCTGGGAGACTAGGATTCAAATCTCCTCAGAGCCGTGAAGCTCACTGGGTGACCTTGGCCATATGACTGTCTCAACTTCCTTCCTTCTCAACATTGTTGTAAGGATAAAATGGGGAGGGTGAGAACCTTGCATGCCACTATGAACTCTCTGTAGGAAAGGTGGTATGTAAATAAAAATGTAATTTAAAAATGTGATTTTAATGCAGCTCTTAGGCCAAAATGAAAATATAACCCAAACATAGTTGATGAACCATTTCTCCCTTAATTAAATATGACATACTATTCTTTTTGCAACTGTCTGGTTTTAACCTGGGCTGGCTTGCATGTTTTCCTTTTTGATTCCCAGTGGTGTTGAGTTTAAATTCAATTTCAGTCCTAATAATTGCTGTAATTGTAAATCATCTAGACACATGTAGTGAAATGAGCAATTGGCAAGTTTGATGTGACAATTCTATCACAGAGCACCTTGATAACGAACGTTTATTTTTGTTTCAATTACTTACGGTTGATTTTTGTGCCTGTAACAGAGAATCACAACAATATTTTGATTTCCCTGGCACACCACAAAGCCATTAAAGTTTTTAGCTTATATAAAATTGGAAGAGTTGCAGTCATTCCATTCCACACATACCGATAACAATTACAAAAAAAATCACTCTCTGAGATGTATGGATCAGCATAGAAGTGGTGGTCAAATCCTGCAAAAAATGTGCTCACCCTTAAAACGCAAGTGATTGACACTTAAAGAAGAACACATCTCTTTAAGCTCTTCAAATGTTCTGTTTTACTCTGAGGCTGTTTTGGCATTCAGAAAATAATAAACAGGGAAAGAAATTGCTGCCCTTTTTAATGCGAGTATTTACTTAATATTGTTTTGAATTAAATGGTTGGTTTGTCTTCCTCCGCTAGGTGGCGATGTTTATGCTACAGCTGATGATGGCTCATCGATATTGTTTGAAGCAGCTGGAGGTGGCAATCCAGACTGCATAACTTTGCTGTTGGAATATGGGGGTGACGGTAATTTGCCTAATAAGGCAGGGCAGCTCCCTATACACAGAGCAGCGTACGAGGGGCATTATTTGTGAGTATTCTTTCGCTCTCCTGGCTCACATATTTGTGTGAAAAAAAGTAGAAATGTTTTCGTTTTGGATTTTAGTTGTACAGTACTTCGGTACGTATGTGCCACTACCAATGTACATGACACCATAGCAATATAATATAAGCCAAAGAAGGTGCCAGGGTCCTGCCCAAATTAGCTTAAAGTCTGCGGCTGCATCCCTATGCACATTTACCTGGGAAATAAGCCCCAGTGAACAGGGGGTTTCTATTCTAAGAAAACTGTTCTACGTAAAGGGACGCGGGTGGCGCTGTGGGTTAAACCACAAAGCCTAGGACTTGCTGATCAGAAGGTCAGAGGTTTGAATCCCCGCAATGGGGTTTGCTCCCGTTGTTTGGTCCCTGCTCTTGCCAACCTAGCAGTTCGAAAGCACCTCAAAGTGCAAGTAGATAAATAGGTACCACTCTGGGTGGAAGGTAAACAGTGTTTCCGTGCGCTCCTCTGGTTCGCCAGAAGCGGCTTAGTCATGCTGGCCACATGACCCAAAAGCTGTACGCCAGCTCCCTCAGCCAATAAAGCGAGATGAGCGCCGCAACCCCAGAGTCGTCCATGACTGGACCTAATGGTCAGGGGTCCCTTTACCTTATTCTAAGTAAACATGCATAGAAACAAGACTTTCTTCAGCTGAAGCTCACCGGAGCTCAGTTCTGGCACCTCTCAGGTGGGCACCATTGCCATTTTAACAGAACAAGGGAGACAGTCATGGTGGGTTCCAGCACCTGCATAGAACTCACTGAAAATCACTTGCTTTTCTTTAATAAGATGTATTTCCTGGACTATCTCAGGTTGGTTACAGTGTACTCCTATTGTACTTTATTCCCACCGCTTTGCAAAATAGGCTTAGACTGAGAGACGCTGTGCTAACTTTCTCAAGGCCACCGGATACAAGTAGATACAGTACATAACAAGATATGAACTTGGTGTGCCTCAACGCTTTTGAGCAGCTTAGTCATGCTGGCCACATGACCCGGAAGCTGTACGCCGGCTCCCTCGGCCAATAAAGCGAGATGAGCGCCGCAACCCCAGAGTCAGTCACGACTGGACCTAATGGTCAGGGGTCCCTTTACCTTTACCTTTAAGGAAAAGGACATTCTGGGATCAAATCAGAAATCGGGACGACTTCTGTAAATCCAGGACTGTCCCTGGAAGATAGGGACACTTGGAGGGTCTGACCTTGTACTAATAAAGCATGTAGAAATTCACAGTGCTGTTGGAAAGGTGTGGGCACAACAATCTCCAGTCAAAGATGACTAGCACTACCACACCAGTCATGCGTTGGTATTGTTATCTACAAAGAGTTTCCAAATGCAGTAAAGGTCCCTTTTCAGACCAGAGCACTTTTTCAGTACAACAACAGTGAACCTCTGTCACAGTGAAGATTATGTAGGCTAGACACCCATTTCATAGATCAGGGGTCAGCAAACATTTTCAGCAGGGGGCCAGTCCACTGCCCCTCAGACCTTGAGGGGGCAGACTATATTTTTTTTTGGGGGGGGAGAATGAATGAATTCCTATGCCCCACAAATAACCCAGAGATGCATTTTAAATAAAAGGACACATTCTACTCATGTAAAAACATGCTGATTCCCGGACCGTCCGCAGGCCGGATTTAGAAGGCGATTTGGCTGAATCTGGCCCCTGGGCCTTAGTTTGCCTACCCATGTCATAGATTAAGTGAAAACCAACAATTTTTTGTGTGTGGTAGACCACTGGGTCCATCCAGTCTTGTTCTGTTTGCTCCAGGTAGCAGCAGAAGTCCAAACCTCAGGTAAATGCGTTTTCCTACCTTGAGACCTTTTAAAGTGGAAATGCTAGAATTGAACTTTATGACCTCAGTGAGCTCAGTGATTCCTATAAGGAATCAAGTGATAAGCTGTACGTATAATTATACCTTTAACACAGATAGTGGACTTTAGTTCTCAGAACATACTATAAAGCCCACAACTGAAAAAGTAGCAAAATAAAAGAGCACACAACACCTCGTTCCAGCACGGAAACAAGAGTTGCTTTCCTGATGGCAGAAAAAGTGTGGCAGCCTGTTGTGTTTTTCAGATTCCCCGTTAAATTCATTTTCTCCCCTTAGGGCCCTGAAATTCCTAATTCCCGTGACATCCCAAACTGCAATCCGGAAAAGCGGGCAGAGTCCCATGCACTCGGCGGCAGATGGCCAAAATCCACAGTGCCTGGAACTCCTCCTTGAAAATGGTTTTGATGTCAACGCCACCCTGGCAGAGCACATTTCTAAAAGTTACGACGACGAAAGGAAAACGGCCCTTTACTTTGCCGTTTCCAACAACGACATTCTGTCCACCGAAGTATTACTGCAAGCTGGCGCAGACCCAAATAAAGACCCTCTCAACTGCCTCCTCGTGGCCGTGAGAGCTGGCAACCATGAAATCGTCAGGTTGCTTCTTTCTTACGGAGCAAACGTCAACTGCTACTTTAACCTTGTGAATGACACCCATTTCCCCAGCGCTATTCAGTACGCCTTGAATGACGAGGTGATGCTAAGGCTGCTGCTGAATCACGGATACCTTGTGGATCTGTGTTTTGACTGCATGCATGGGGACATCTTTGGAAATTCTTTCATATGGTCAACTCCGGAGGAAGAGGTGTTACCAGGATGGACATCTTGTGTCATTAAAGATAATCCAGTAAGCACCTTCCGGGATTTTCCATTCTGCTCTGTACTACTCTTAATTGAAGGGACGCGGGTGGCGCTGTGGGTTAAACCACAGAGCCTAGGACCTGCCGATCAGAAGATCGGCGGGTTCGAATCCCCGTGACGGGGTGAGCTCCTGTTGCTCAGTCCCTGCACCTGCCAACCTGGCAGTTCGAAAGCACATCAAAGTGCAAGTAGATAAATAGATACCGCTCTGGCGGGAAGGTAAACGGCGTTTCCGTGCGCTGCTCTGGTTTGCCAGAAGCGGCTTAGTCATGCTGGCCACATGACCCGGAAGCTGTACGCCGGCTCCCTCGGCCAATAAAGCGAGATGAGTGCTGCAACCCCAGAGTCAGTCACGACTGGACCTAATGGTCAGGGGTCCCTTTACCTTTACCTATTGTTATAGTTAAGATCGTAAGCATTTCACTATTACTAGAGTGCCTGCTTCCAATGGAAAATGGAGCATAGGGGATAGATTTTGATGAATAATCACCCCTTCCTCTATTTTTAGCCATGATAACAAAGTCCAAGTATAGAGTGAGCCTGATGCTGCTAGCTAAGGGCTATTGTAAGAAGAAAATGTTGGCACGTGTTTTGTGTTCTTTCCTCAGCTGATAAGGATGCTTAGGGATGCGTACATAACACCGGCCCATTGGTCTAGCTTTCTAAAATCACTTAGGCCAGAGTACGTAAATTCAAGCCAGCTGATTTAGTGCCACTGACTTCATAGGAACCTGAGCTTATCACCCATTGGTAAAAGGAATACTCCATGAACAAATGATATACATTCAATTGGCGCATGGGGCTAGGAAGAACTTTTGCTGGAACATCACCAATATTATGTGCAATGCTATGTGGGCAACAAAGCTATCCCAGACACAAAATAGCTCAAATGAAAAAAAATATTAAGGTGGTACCAATGGAAGCCGGAAGAGACCACTGGTCATTCCAGTACTTGGTATCCTAGTTGCCTCTTGGGTTCTAGGTGCAAAGAGGTCTGTCCTGTGTTTGGCTGACCTTATATTAGTTCCTAGATTAAGGGAAAGATATATGAACAAGTGATAGATCTGTTTACCTCTGCCATCTTTTCCTGGTCATAAGAAATCAGCATTACTACAACAGTGCAAGAAAATCTTGCTAATCATGTTAACCAGTCTGAAAGGCAATACTAGTTTAACAGTATTGTGGAATTGGGTTGCTCACAGGGCAAACACAAACAGATGTCAAATAATGTATCTGTTTTCATTTCAGAATGTAGCATCCCAATATCTCTCAAAGACACGCAGAATAGTAGAACTAAAAGATGGCATTTTTATCTTTTAAGAATTGTCTGTGTATCTGAAGAAGTGTGCATGCACACGGAAGCTCATACCCAGAGCAAACTTATTTGGTATCTAAGGTGCTACTGGATTATTTTTTAATTTTTTAATTTATTTTGACACCTTCAGACCAACATGGCTACATACCTGAATCTAGAATTCTCTTCAGGCTCTTAAAGCAAAGTGCCATAGTTCTTGGATTATTGCATTGTATTTTATCATGATATATTTGTGATTTCTGCACAATTTTATTGCAAGGACATATACCTTGGGAGATTTAAAAAATAACACTGGATTTATTTCGTTTCAGTTCTGTGACTTTATCACCGTTCCTTGGATGAAACATTTAGTAGGACCCATCATTCGTATTTTGATAGATTACATGGATTATGTTCCCCTTTGCACAAAACTTAAGTTTGTCCTGGAGTCCCAGAAAGAATGGGCAGAGATCCAGCAGATATTAGGTAAATGTGCAGTCCTGGCTTGGAAATATGCATGTTGTTGAATTCTGTAAATAATAGCTGGACCACATTTTTCGTAGATCCAAAAGTGTGTATTTTGGGTCACTTGAATACGTTCTGTCAGTAGCCCCATTTATTTCTGAGGGATTATATATCCCCTGCTTTTAAGCATTTTTACTTAGAATAAAGAGGATTTACTTCCATATAAATGTGTTAAGAATCAGGAGAATAGCGGAGGGAAGTCTAGTAATACTCTGCCCAGCGAAAAAAGATAAGAACCCAGATGGAGGGATGAATCTTGGGATGTGTGGGATTGTCAGAGTGGATGTAGCAAGGGAGAGAGCTTGCTTTGTAACCCCTGATGCGGGGAAAAAAAAGAAATATTATGGGTTGCATTCAGCATAGTTCTAAGGTATGCATTCCATCAGTGCAGGGTTTCTCGTTCCACAACGGAATGATCTCCACCTGTGATTTCCCTAAAACCTTGAGCAGATTTGGGACAACGCAGGACACATGATGGGGATAAGTGGGGTGGGAATCCCAGTGCACTAGTGGTAATCCATTTGTGAATGTGGTTTAATTTGAATATTGCCCTTTAGAAACTCTGTTGGTAAAGGCAGTGAGCCACAAAAAAAGCTTGCTTTCTTCCTAGTGGTGCAGTGATAAAAGTGCTGGCATGTTTGCAAAGCTAAGCAGGGTCCGGTATGGTTTCAGATCGGAGGGGAGACTGCTGTGTTGATATATACCTGCATTGCAGAGGGTTGAACTAGGTGACCCCCCCCCCTTTCTGGCTCTATTCTTCACCCGACCTGCATAATCATTTGTTTTTATAGCATCATGCATGAATGGGCAAGGTATTAAGCAGAGTCGCTAAGCCATTTGCCGCAAGCCATTATGTCACAGCAGCACATAATGTATTCTAAGAAATGGGTATTCGTGGCAAAAAAACAGCAGTATTTATTAATTTTATTTATTTAGAGAATTTGCACCCCACTCTTCAGCCAAAAAAGGGCTCCCAGAGTAGCTTACATTTCAATCAGTTAAAACAAGACAGTCCCTGTCTGCATTGCTCATCGTCTTAAAGAAAAACAACACAAAAGGGGAAAGGGACAAGGAGGGCAGAGGAAAAATATACTGCACACATTGTTAAATAGACATATTTTTTAGGTTGTGCTGGCATCGTATTTGCTATGTGCTATGCTGGTTGTTTGTAGTGTGAACTGATCACCCTCCCCATGCCTCTTAGATAGTCACTAAGTTAATGGGACATATTTTCCATTGCATTTCCCTCTTTTGTTTCATTTTTGTCTTCCAGAGAATCCTCGCCCGCTAAAGCATTTGTGCCGCCTGAAAATACGTAAATGTATGGGATTGGAGGGGACACAGAAGCCGCAGTCCATGAACAGGCTTCCCGTTCCGCCAGTTCTTAAAGCCTATATCCTCTACAAAGAGTATGATCTTTATGGGAGGGACCTAAATTTGCTGTGATTTGCAGAATCCAGACATTAACACATTTACTTGGAAGTTAAATTTGGTGTAACCATAAGGGTGCCAGAACGGTGAACTATGGCTTTGGATCCAGAAGAGACCTTCTGCTTTCTTGCATGTTGTGTGAGGCAAGTGAAACTAAATTCAAATACGTTCTTCAAAAACATGAGAGCTGCTGTCACGTGTTAATCCCTATAGCAGTGTGTGAACTCTTACACAAACTCCACAAACTTAGTTTCACTCGTGGTTCCTTGGCACCAACATTCCTTCCCTCCCACCCCCCACCCCCCAGTATTTCTACGAAGCCATGTAAATTTGTGCTCTTCCCGTGATACAAATAACTGCCTCTCTCAATACATATTGCAGTTAAATTCTGCATATTTTCACATATCCATCCTACAACGCAGTTATATTTTCTTTCCTATTTTTAAAAATAAAAATTGAACGTGATCTTTGGACTCCACTCTAGCTCTAAGCATTAATACATCTAACACTTGGTACCCAAACCAGAAAAGAAACAGAAAAGAAAACACCAACATTCAGGCATGATCTGTACCCATGATTCTTGGGTCTAGCACAGGGGTCTGCAACCCGCGGCTCCGGAGCCGCATGTGGCTCTTTTACACCTTTGCTGTGGCTCCGGGGCGGATACTAGCAAGGGGAGGAGGCGCATTGTGTGCCCCGACACTCCCCACTGTGGCGGGCGCTGTACTGGCTGTGACGTCGCATGGGGGCGGTGCGTGCGTTAGTCTCACACCGTCCTGACGTCACCTTCCCGGTTTTGCGGCTCCCAGTTGTTTTTTTCTTCGGAAACGGGTCCAAGTGGCTCTTTTTGTCTTAAAGGTTGCAGACCCCTGGTCTAGCAGGATACTGGAAGTCTCCCTTCTTACGATCTTCGCATGGAATCCCTTTGGACCTAGCTTTGCCACTTCTGTGAACACCTCACTATAAAACGTTCAGTTCTTAAACAAGGCAATTACAGCATCCAAAGGGAGCAACACGGCATTTAATGTAGAAAACTAAATAGCGATCCAGCTATTTGACTAATAACAGTTCACTATTTTTATGCGAATGCACAATGATTCGCTATTGACGGGCGAGATGCAAATAATTTGCTGTTAAATGTCACTTGAGCCCTTTATCGAAAAAGATCCAAGGCAGCTTATAAGAAAAAAGGGTATACAAAATTCAAGATGCGATGCAAGAAAAACAGCAAGTTATCCATATAATACGAAAGCTGATCACCCCATAAAAATTGACAGAACTGGCCCTGGTACAAAAACCAACAACTGGGAATTAATAAAGCAGCCCATTTCAATCTAGATGTTGGATATATCTGGAGTATCCGTGTTGGGGCATACAAAGCATGCCTGATGTGTTTTATTTTAGTCCCCTCCAATTTGTATGTGCTTAAATTATCCCTGTTGACAGCGCCAGTAGCAACCTAGCTGAATGATACGCCTATGAGGCATGTGGCCCTAATCTCTTGCTGACTTGTGCCTATTTTGGAGGAAGAGAGACACGGTATGGCTATGGTACAAGACCAAAGTACTAGGCCCCAAGGTTGTTGGAGGCAAACACTGAATTATTTGTGTGCTGCGGGGTGGGAGTAAACTTAAGGGAAACTGAGAGGGTCAAACGAGAAGTTAGAAGAGATGAAGGACAGGCACACATTACCACATAGATCCCTGGCTGGAATAAGTGAAAGCATACCCTCCAACATTTCTCCAATGAAAATAGGGACACCCTCTTCAATAATAATAATAATAATAATAATAATAATAATAATAATAATAATAGTATCTGACTCCCTTAGCCAGTAAAGCAAGATGAGCTCCTCAACCCCAAAGTCGTTCGTGACTGGACCTAACGGTCAGGGGGTACCTTTACCTTTAAGGAAAATGGTCATTCCAGGATCAAATCAGAAACCGGGGCAGCTTCTGTAAATCCGGGACTGTCCCTGGAAAGTAAGGTAAAGGTAAAGGGACCCCTGACCATTAGGTCCAGTCGTGGCGATTCTGGGGTTGCGGCGCTCAACTCGCTTTATAGGGACACTTAAAGGTCTTATAAGGGACACGGGTGGCGCTGTGGTTATACCACAGAGCCTAGGACTTGCCGATCAGAAGGTCGGCAGTTTGAATCCCCACAATGGGGTGAGCTCCCATTGCTCGGTCCCTGCTCCTGCCAACCTAGCAGTTCGAAAGCACGTCAAAGTGCAAGTAGATAAATAGGTACTGCTCCGGCAGGAAGGTAAACAGCATTTCCGTGCACTGCTCTGGTTCGCCAGAAGCGGCTTAGTCATGCTGGCCACATGACCCAGAAGCTGTACGCCGGCTCCCTCGGCCAATAAAGCGAGATGAGCGCCGCAACCCCAGAGTCAGTCACGACTGGACCTAATGATCAGGGGTCCCTTTACCTTTACTAAAAGGTCTGATTGTTTTTACTTTATGCAAAGCCTCCTTTCTAACTAAGGATCTGCCATGCTGCTTTTGGCCATCTCCTTCCGTTGCCAAAATTGCAAAGGAAGGGAGTCCCCGCAGACTCTCAGGATCAGCCTCTCTTAGTGCACAACTGTGTTTCTGGGGTTGTGAGCGAAAGATTGCACCACTAAGTGCCTTGGCATGAAAAGTCATATAATTACAGCATCCTACTTCCATACCCAAAAGTTACACTGTAGAAACGAGTAATTAGTGTTTGCCAGGAAAATAGGTCAGTAGGAGGGGGCTGTGTGAATGTGAACAATACACATTCAAGTCAAGTGAGAATTATTTGGGTATTTCTTCTTTAAATAACACCCTAGCATGTTCTTAGGGTGGGAATTTTGGTAGCACACAGAAGTATTCAGCAATAATATAGGGTACCACCCACTAGGTTTCTTCTGCTGTGCATTATCAGGCAAGAGCCTTTAAAATGAATTGTGATTTCACAGTAACAGAGTCATGATACAGAGATGGAGGATGCAGCCCATCAGATATTGTTTGACTCCTGCCCCTATTACTGCTGTCCATTGGCCACGCTTGTTGGGGCTGATGGGTATGGGAATTCAACAACATAAGACCCCTCTCTGCTTTGATAGATTATTCCCATTATGCGTGTTTTAGAGCATTATACGTAAAACCATGTAAATATCAGAAAGTGTTCTAGGGCAAAAATAAATAGATGGATAAAATCTCAGTGGCCAGAAAGGCAATAGTTTAAAAATGTTAAATCAATCTGCAGATAGTACAGTGGTACCTCGGGTTGCATACGCTTCAGGTTACAGACTCCGCTAACCTAGAAATAGTGCTTCAGATTAAGAACTTTGCTTCAGGATGAGAACAGAAATTGTGCTCTGGCGGCACGGTGGCAGCAGGAGGCCCCATTAGCTAAAGTGATGCTTCAGGTTAAGAACAGTTTCAGGTTAAGAACGGACCTCCGGAACGAATTAAGTACTTAACCTGAGGTACCACTGTACTATACACTTCTTTGCATAAAGCTTTTATATCGTGTACCTATTTAAATACTGTCTTTTAAAAATTAGCATTTAAATTTGTTCTAATTACAAGGTGGATTAAAAATTAAGCATGGGGACAAAATAGTGCCTGGCCAAAAAAGCAGTAATCAAGTTATGCTGGTAAAGATAGGTTCACTGGCATAAAATATCACTGCACTCAACAAAGCCACACCTTTTTTTTTTTTTAAAAAAAAAGAATACAGTATTTTAAGGTGATCTACAGCTGTAGAGATAATTGCTATTGTTCTGTTATTTTCAAAACGTTGGATTTTATGCAATCCAAGATAAGTCGAAAGGAACAAAAAATAAAGGAGGGCAATGGTTTGAAAACAACATCATGTAGATGCCCTATAAAAAGTGAGTGAGCAAAGCGAACTGAGTTTAGGGAGAAAGACAATGTAGTGAGAGTGTTTGATTAAGGCATTTTGATACTTGAGGCAGAAAATCCAAATTGTGACCCTCTTCCGCGAGGGTAAATATATACAGTGGTACCTTGGTTCTCAAACCTAATCTGCTCCGAGAGTCCGTTCGACTCCCGAAACTGTTCAAAAACCAAGCCACAGCTTCCAATTGGCTGCAGAAGCTTCCTGCAGCCACGGAAGTTGCGTCACACGTTCGGCTTCTGAAAAACGTTCGCAAACCCAGAACACTAACTTCCGGGTTTGCGGCATTCGGGAGCTGATTTGTTCGGGACCCAAGCCGTTCGAGTACCAAGGAACCACTGTACATGAAAATACAGTGGTACCTCGGGTTACAGATGCTTCAGGTTACAGACTCCGCTAACCCAGAAATAGTACCTCGGGTTAAGAACTTTGCTTCAGGATGAGAACAGAAATCACGCGGTGGTGGTGCGGCGGCAGCAGGAGGCCCCATTAGCTAAAGTGGTACCTCAGGTTAAGATGTTTCAGGTTAAGAACGGACCTCCAGAACTAATTAAGTTCTTAACTCAAGGTACCACTGTATACATAACATTGAATAAACCAGTTTGCTGCCCTGTCATGGTATTTGGTCATCTGCTGCTTGAATTAGCCCGTGTCAAATGGTGTGCTTGCCCTAGCTTGAACTTTGCATCCAGTGCTAGACACTTTGAAGAGACCAAGTCTGCACGGGAAGTATTTCGCTCATGTCTTACTGTAGAATCACAGAATTGTAGAGTTGGGAGGGTCATCTAGGCCAAACCCCCCCCACACACACACACAAAATGCAGGAATCTCAACTATAGCATCCATGACAGATGGCCATCCAATCTCTGCCTTGAAAACCTCCAAGAAAGGAGAACCCACAACCTATTGAGGGAGATTGTTCAACTGTCAAACAGTTTCTGCCTTACTCTATCACTCACTGATAGAATGAAAAAGAACATGTTTTCCACCTTGACTTCATGTTTACAATACCATCAGGGCAGATAACCTGAACAACAGGGCCATTTGGCAAAAACACTCAGCTGAAAAGTTATTCCTTCACATGCCTTCAGCAATATGTTTTGCCTGGCGTTGCTGCCCTGATACCACTGTTAAATGTAGGGGATGACTCATCGTTCTCAAGGACAATACAGTATGCCCAGTTTTCAAATCTGTCTGTCTGTCAGCCATGCTTAGATGTCTGAAAGTCTCGACCTCTCTCACCCTTTTCAGCCTCCCCACCCCCCCATTAAAGAAACAGCTTTGTAACACAGGTTTATATGCAGCGACGTTAGAGAAGCTTCGTTTCCCAAAAACGGATCGCTGTAGTACCTGCGTGATAACACACAAGGTGTTTACGTAGCTGCACAAGTCAAGCTGACACAAGTTGAATGTGAGAGGCACGAGGAACCTTTCACACCTTCCCTCGTGGCACTATTTGTCACTACAGTGGCATATCTGGGGGCTCAGGTGGCAGCACACAACTGTTAGGGCTTCAGGGATTGCGTGTCGAGACCCCGCAG